ATGGCCAGCGGGCCAGTTTTAATATATTTTTGATATTTATCTCGCGGGCCACATGAAAATTCTCCGCGGGCCAGATGCGGCCCGCGGACCTTGACTCTGACATATGTGATCTAAACTATACATGCACATAAAACCAAAAACACAACAAAATCATGCAGTTACACAAAACTGTTAAGAAATTCCAACAATTATTAAAAGAATTTAAAGCAACAAAAAACACACATTCCACTGTGTGACACGTGTGCTAAAATATTGATGGCATTATTTTTCTGCTCTGGCACACGCATTTCAGATCGATCATTTTCAAAATAATGAGTAAAAATGGTTTCTCAGTGAACCTGACCTCTAAGTGGACCTAAATAATGCCACAAAGACAACAAATCCAAGCCAGACTTGTTTTGTATTTTCTCAACCTGTCATTGAATCATTTTGTTGCACACAGCTCAGCTCTCTGTAGCTTACTGGAGTAACATAACAACAACAACATTCTTGTTTAGGAGAAAAAAAGGTTTGAGGCACAACTAAAGCACGTTGTGTGATCACTGCTTCTAAGAGTTATTTTTTCTCCTGTGTTTATTCCAGATATGAGAATATTGACACAGATTATTTTAACAAACACGCTGCCAAACGATTATCAGAGCCACGTTTTAAAGAACTGATGATGGTGTGTTTAAAGGCAATGATTCGGCACAGATGGTGAGACAATAAATCCTTCGGTTATGCAAGGCTGTAGTGTGTGAAGGAAATGAAACTCTAGATGCATCAAAGAAATAAAACATATTTGTGATGTTAAATGTTTTAAATCTAAAATAAAGCAATGAGTTCATATTTCATTTATAGAAAATAAAGTGAGCAGCTTCCCACTGAAGTTCTTAGGTGTGTTCTTGCTGTGCCGTGGTTCCAATTCCATGCTGTAGTTCTTTTTAAAACACAGAACAGTTTCGTTACCTGTTTTCCCGCTACGTTTCATCTGCGTCTGCAAACTTCCTCAGGCTGACGCTGATGGTGGCGTCACTTCCTTCTCCGTTTATCCGCGGGCAGCAGAGGACGTTGTCGCCCTCTGCTGCCCGCTCTCCCCTCTCCGATGAAGCAGTCCCCTGCACGGTCCAACGTGTAAACTCCATCGTCTCTGTTCATGGTCCCACATCCACGTCTCCTTATCTCGATAGCTTCTTTTATCCGTTTTTTGTATTTCTGTTGTTCGGTGTTTATGATCCTTGTGTTGTCCCAGTCCATTAAATGGTTTCCTCTTGTGCAGCGATCTGTTACGGCTGACTTCTTTATTGTACTTTCTGCTTCTTCTTTTGCTGCTCTTGTGTGTTTTCGACTTGTTTCTTTCTCGCACTCCTTTCTATGTTCTATTGTTCGTGTGTTGAGTTGGCGTCTGGTTTCTCCTATGTATGTTTTATTGCAGAGTTCGCATGGGATTTCATAAATGACCCCACATTTATGTCCAGCTGATATCTTGTCTTTTGGGTGTACTAGTCTGTTTCTAACTGTTGTGTGTGGTTTCGTTGGTGTGTTTATGTTGTGTTTTTTCATTGTTGCTCTTATTTTTTCTGTTATGCCTTTGATGGATGGTAGGGTTATCACTGGTTTTGGTTCTTGTCTTTCTGGGTTTCTGATTCTTTGCTTTGGTTGTTCTTTTTTTTCTGTTGTTGTTTGTTGTTTTCCTTTGTTTATTGCCCATGTCGGGTATCCGCAGGTCTTTAAAGCGTGTTGTATGTGTTTGTCCTCTTGTTTACTGTCTCTTTCTTCTGTTACCATGTTTGTTCTGTGATATAATGTTTACATAATGTTTTTATAATGTTCTGATTACTGACATTTTGTGTAAGGTGGGGTGTTCTGATGTCCATAATAGATATTGGTATGTGTGTGTTGGTTTCCTGTTTGTGTTTATGTTTAGGGTTCCGTCGGTCTGCCTGGTGATTTTCATATATGAAAATAACTGATCCCCTGTAGTTGGAACACATGGTTCCCCTTTTTAAATAAGGGAACCACCACCCCGGTCTGCCAATCCAGTGACTGCCCCGATAGCCACACGATACAGCAGAGCCGCGTTAGACAACACAGCCCTACAACATCCAGAGCCCAAAGAAACTCCAGGCGGATCTCATCTACCCCTGGAGCCTTGCCACTGAGGAGCTTTGTGACCACCTCAGTGAACTCAGCACCAGAGATTGGAGCGCTCAACCCAAAGTCCCCAGACTCTGCTTCCTCACTGGAGGACGTGCTGATGGGATTGAGGAGGACTTTGAAGTATTCCGCCCACCAATCCACAACATCCCGAGTTGAGGTCAGCTGCACACTGTCCCCAGTATGAACAGGGTCGGTAGCACACTGCTTTCCCCTCCTGAGACACCGGATGGTATACCAGAATCTCCTCAAAGCCGAACGGAAGTCTTGCTCCATGGTCTCACCAAACTCCTCCCACGCCTGGGTTTTTGCCTCTGTGACCACGCGGGCTGCATTCTGCTTGACCTGTCGTATCCATCAGCTGCCTCTAGAGTCCCACCGGCCAAAAGAACCTGATAGGAGTCTTTCTTCAGCTTGACAGCATCCCTAACCGCCAGTGTCCACCAGCGTGTTCAGGGGTTGCCTCCACGACAGGCGCTGACGACCCTGCAGCCACAGCTCTGGTCAGCCACCTCATCAATGGAAGTATGGAACATGGCTCCCTCTGACTCAATGTCCCCTGCTTCCCTCAGGACGTGTTCGAAATTCTGTCTGAGCCAACTGACCAGCAGGTAGTGGTCAATTGACAACTCCACCCCTCTCTTCTCCTGAGGGTCCAAGACATGCGACCGCAGATCAGACGAAACAACAACAAAGTTGATCATCGAACTGCGGCCTAAGGTATCCTGGTTCCAAGAGCACATGCGGACACCTTTATGCTTGAACATGTTGTTCATTATGGACAATCATGACAGAAGTTCAGTAACAAAACACCACTCAAATTCAGATCAGGGGGGCGTTCCTCCCAACTACACCTCTCCAGGTCTCACTGTCATTTCTCACGTGAGCGTTAAAGTCCCCCAGCAGAACGGGGTAGTCACTGGAAGGAGCGCTCTCCAGCACCCCCTCCAATGACCCCACAAAGTGTGGGTAGTCTGAACTGTAGTTTGGTGCATAAGCACAAACCACAGTCAGGACCCTTCTCGAGGAAACTGGTTCCAGAGCCAAAGCCATGTGTTGAGGTGAGTCCAACAATATCTCGCATCTCAACCATACACAACAACTCCAGCTCTTTCCGTACCCGAGAGGTGACATTGCACGTACCGAGAGCAAGCTTTTGTAGCCGAGGTCCCTGCCTTTGTCTACCACCCGTCACACAACCTGACCCCTTTGGCCCCTCCCACGAGTGGTGAGCTCATGGAGAGGATACCCACATTTCCTCTTCGGGCTGTGCCCGGCTGGGCTTCATGGGCGAAAGCCCAGCCACCAGGTGCTCACCAACGTGCCCCACCTCAGGCCTGGCTCCAGAGGGGAGCCCCTGTGGTGTGCCCATCTGAGGAAGGGAACATAGTTTCCATTCGTGTTTTTCCTCATAAAGGGTCTATGGGCCACACTTTATCTGATGGTGGTTTACTTCCTACATCTTCAACCAGGCTGTGGGACTCTTTTACAACGTTCTTGCTAATTCGACATTTGTTTTTCCAGCAATGGGCTGTCTCACATAGAAAAGAAGTCTGTTTGAATTTGCTTTGTTCTCTCACCTGCAGACGTAAACCAACAGTGATGCAGATAAGTTTATTTTTTCCAGTTTTCTATTTTGAATGCAGATGTTACAGGAATGTCAAAATATTATTTAGAAAACATTTGATCTTGCCAAATGTTTTCAGGGACATCAGCTTTTAGGGGGAATCTTCTGATTACTTTATCATTTCCTTTTTTACTAAGTTAATTCTAGATTTACTTCTGGCAGTTTGGTGTGTGTGTGCGCGTGTGTGTGTGTGTGTGTGTGTGTGTGTGTATGTGTGTGTGTGTGTGTGTGTGTGTGTGTGTGTGTGTGTGTGTGTGTGTGTGTGTGTGTGTGTGTGTGTGTGTGTGTGTGTGTGTGTGTGTGTGTGTGTGTGTGTGTGTGTGTGTGTGTGTGTGTGTGTGTGTCACAGCCACAGACCTAATGATGACAGCACGTCTGGGGGCCCAACATCTGTCAGCATTTTCCATCTTCAAGCCTGGCTGCTGTCAATTAACCCCTGGCAAATAAAACCACACCAGACTTTGCTGGTAAATCAATCAGGAAAAGTGCAAACATTGCTAAATAACGAGTTTTTGTTGATTACAGAGATATCATTTATGAAAACAAAGTATTTTTAATTAAAACTTGAAATATGAACTAGCTAAACATTTGGAGGTACATGTTTCGATTTATGAATTTCTGCCACTAGCTCTGCTGCACAAACTACCTGAAGCCTTTTTCGTCTGCTGATTATCCTAATGCTTTTGTTTGTTTGTTTTTCTGCAATGTGTAAACTGTTTTATTTATTGTTGCTCTGCAAGGACATTCCTAGATGTAAATCTCAACGACCCTTTCAGTTTAAAAAACTTTAATTAAATTTAAAAAGTGGTCAAAACTACTGTCCATGTGTTTAAACCTTGTTGATGTTTAAGTACCACCACAGACCCAATGATGACAACATCCAACTGTTTCCTTTAAATATATCCAGTGTTCATTGTAATGCTTATTTTTTCTTCTTGAATGAACGTCGTTTTGATCTTTGCCTTATTGGCTAGCTAGGTCTCCCTTAATAAAGATTTTTTAACCTCCATGGGCTTTCCCTGGTTAAATAAAATAAAATAAATAAATAAATAAATAAATAAATAAATAAATAAATAAATAAATAAATAAATAAATAATACTAGTAACTGTAAGGAACCATAAGATTTATTTTATTTATTTATATTTTTTGGAGACGATCTTTTTTTTTTTTGTAGGTCTTTGTTTTTAGCACATGTCCAGCAGGTGGCGACATTGAGCCACTGATTTTGTTTTCCAAACAGGAAATTAGAAGAAGAGAGGGAGGAAGCAGTAGTTTCAGGTGCAAATGTTTCCTGTCGACGGTATTGTTCTTGTAGACTTGCATTCGCTCTGAAATATATATTTTTTAAAACAAATTTGTAGTTTTATCACCAAAAGCACAATGGCGGCACCAGGTAGGGGTTCTGTTTGAGTGTTTTTAGGCTAATTTTTTGATCATTTAGCGTAGATAAGATAAGTAAAGTGGAGCTCATCTTTACAACAGTTAAACCTCCAACAAACACGGAGACTACTCCTGGCATTTTCGCACAAATCCTGGATATATTATAACTTAGCTAAATATCGTTAAACCATTTCTGTGTTGAAAAAGAAATAATGCAGTCATAAAGCGCTTTCCCGCGTGAATCTTCGTGATATTTAACCTCTTGTATCACCTGACAGCTGCCAACAAAGACAACATCAGAGCTGGCTGTAAGAAATGTGGCTATCGTAAGTAACTTTATCTAATAGATTACTTATTAGTACAAATGTATGCATTCGATTTATTTTTCAAGTTACATTTGAAAAGTGAATTCTTTGAATCTTAAATGCTTTTGGAGACAGATAGAGGTACTTTGTTTAAAATGAGCCAAAAACAAGTTATATGATTTAAAATATGCTATCAGTAATGAAGAACTGTGTAAATAATTAGATTTAATGTTTTCACTGACGTTTTTCCATCTGAACAAATGTTCTTTTCCTTAATTTAGTGTTTCAATTGTGATCTCTTTTTGTGTTCGTTTCTCAGCGGGACATTTGACGTTTGAGTGCCGAAACTTCGTCCGGGTCGACCCGCAGAAAGACATTGTTCTGGATGTGAGCAGCACCAGCAGCGAGGAGAGTGAAGATGACGGACCAGTTTCTCAGCACACAGAGAAACTGGGACGGAGTGGTCAGCATCACAAAGGTCAGATGGCTTAAAATTTGCTTAAATCAATAATATTTTGATTAAAATAAAGCAAAGAAAGTGCAGACTACCATCCATCTATCTATTTTCCTCCGCTTATCCGGGTTCGGGCCATGGGGGCAGCAGCTTAAGCAGAGAGGGCCAGGCTTCCCTTTCCCGAGCCACTTGGTCCAGCTTCTCTGGGGGAATCCCAAGGCGTTCCCTGTCCTACTGAGAAACATAGTGCCTCCAGCTTGTCCTTGGTCTTCCTTTAGGTCTACTCCCAGTTTGACGTGTCTGGAAAACCTCACCAGGGAGGCATCCTAACCAGATCCTCTCAATGTGGAGGCAGACCGTCACCGCTTACTTTACATAAGAAACTAAAAAAAATCAAACAAGAGACTTTCAAATGCTAATCAAACTTTCTGTTCTTCTATGATTCAGGTCCTGTTCTGCTTCTACTGTGACTTGCTTTGATTCAATGTCGACTTTTCCTTTCACTATTTTCAATGTTTTAGATTCCAATGATGATGACGATAGAAAAAAGAAGCGGAAACAGAAGAACAAAGACAGAAAGTCAAGAAAAAGGTCATTTATCTTGTGTTTATATTAAGATACGTGTTTTTAATGCTCCTATATTCTCAATTACTGTGTTGAAAAAAGCATGTAAGTTGTTGGAAAATATTTTTCATTCCACTAGTTAAAGATAGACTAATAATGTATTATTTTAGATGTTTTTATAGTTGATACTTAAAGATTTGAAGTGTTTTCTTGGTTTTACCAAAGCCAGTAACTATTATTTAAAATTTAGATCTTACTCGTCGTCGAGTGATGGGGGCACAAAAAAAAAGAAGAAGCGAAGCAGATCAAGCTCATCGTCGGATGAAGAGGAGAGAAGAAAGAAAAAGAAACTAAGCCGCAAGAAGAAGAGTAAAAAGAACAAAAAAGAGCATGGGAAGCATCACAAAATGAAAGAGAAGAAGAGGAAACACAAATCGTCCTCATCATCCTCTTCCACCTCTGGTGAATCATCAGACAGTGACTGAACAGTGTCGTTTCTGGACGACGTGTTTATTCAGAAGTGTAGATGGTCTGCGTTTTGACACTTTATAAATGCAGCAAATCAAATAGTTTCATCTGAGCTTTCCTTTCTGAGTGTTAAAGTAAATTTTGTCTGCTACAGATTAATGGCAACAATATGACGTAAGGGTTAAAATGACTGCTGATTTCCTCTGAGACTGTCAGGAACCCATCTTTATACAAGGATTTAAAATATTAAACACTTCATACTGCAGGTTAATAAGTTCCTATTTCTGTTATTTTTATGTATTTTAGTCAAAAAGGATCAATTTAAAAGGTCAAAGTGCTTTTAAACATGAGGGCAGTACGGTGGTTCAGTTGGTAGTGCTGTTGCTTTGCAGCGGGAAGGTCACAGGTTCAAATCCTGACCTTTCTTTGTGTAGGTTGCATGTGTGAGGTTTCTGCAAAAATGCATAAACAGTCAGTGAAATGCATCATCTTTACTGTAATTACTGCAGGTTTGTCTTAGTTTTCTGTTGATCACTGACCCTTTACTGGGAATAAAACATGTTTGTTTCAGTTTAATCTGTCACTGTTTTCCCTTTGTAATCTAATCTGACCAAATTTAATAAACCACCAATCCTGATTGACAAAAAAAAAAAAAAAAAAAAAACGGACTAAATATGGTTCATATGCAGCCACATGGCCACTAGAGGGAAGCATCACACCTCATATTTCTATCTGGTAAACTGCTGTTTAACAACATCAGCACTTAAAAGAGAAGTTTCAGCTTCATGAAAGGTTTGGAGTTATTCACTAGTGCTAAAGATGCTCAAAAGTCCCTAAAAGAAGTGCATTCAGATCCTTTCACAATAAGGCTGTATTAAGTAAGACATCAACCTCAAATCAAATTTAAACCTTTAAAGAAAATTATATTTAAAAAAAAAAGGTGTGGACATGATGACCTTTTCCTTATGTGCTAGTATGAACCAACCATCAGAATACCCAGTAGTCATGTTGGACAAAAGTCCTGTTCATGTGCACTGGAAACGAGTTACGGAGGTGATGATGACATTTTATGTTTAATTCGCCACAACATCATGATTAGGCACATTTCTGAGCAACAACACTGCTTGGCAGAGGCACCTGTGTAAATCCTCATCACAGCAAAGTGTTTGGAAGGAGCGATGAAGACAGAGTTTTGTGTATTTAATGAACCATTTAGTTGTTATGCATCGATATTAGAGCGATGACATCTAATGAGCCCAAAACGACAAACTGCTATTTCCACCCTGAGGCTGAACTACCCCCTCTTGTGCAGAGTTTTAGAAGGCAGGGAAAAAATGGAGGCTTTATGCTGGCTGATGGGTTGGTGCTAGTGATACACCCTTATGAAATTGTTGGGCAGATTCCGATATTACAGTTTTTCTCAATTGCTAAAACACTAAAATCCATTGACTGAAGAACGTTCTCTGTTGCTTGAACTCATTAAGCTAACTGTTGAGCCTGTTGTCAAAACCTTAAACCATTTCACACGGTTTAGCAAAACTCTAAACGCATTTCTCGTTCTTAAAACACATTCTGCACTCTAATGTACATGTTGTCCATAACGGTAAACACAAGTGGCACACATTTACCCATAACAAGAGCACACATGCCATTGATTGAACACAATCAGTCTAAATAGATTTCACTTGTTTCAAATGATGTGACAACCAACATAAGCAAGTTCAGAGAGCAAACAGGTTGTTGAAGGTGGGAATGAGAAAGTGGGACAATGGATAGAAGTATTCATGTGAGAGGACGAGGACGGGTGCGTAGGCGAGGTGGGGGGTGAGGAGGAGGGCAAGAAAGAGAAAGAGGAGGATGAAGAGGAAGAGCAAGACAAGAGTGGAAATATCCAATGAAATTTTAGCAACGATCATAGACCATGTTGTTGTCCATGGGCTGTAACCTCCAGCAACGGTCAGTTTAGGTACAGTCTGACCTTTCAACATCTATTCATCTGGTCAGAAAGGAGGCACAACATTGCATGTGTTCCCTTTAAATGAGCCAGCCTTCATACCAGCTGGGATTCACAGACTCTGCAAGTCTGAAAGATAAACAATAACTTTCTTTCCCAAGGCTCCATCTGTCTGCCTCCGCAGAAGAAACAACTCCAGCTCGAATCAGGTACTAAATTGTAGAATGATTTCCTAAATCAATATGAACTTCTTCCATGACTTACAATCTAGATAATCATTAAATAAACATTTGTTTATTACTACTTATAATAATTATAGTATAATGAAATGCTTCATTAATCTGTGCTCACTGAATGGATGTTATGTTATGTTATGTTTGTCTACTAGAACCTGCCATGTGTTCAACATGTTTTGACGACGAGGTCCTCACACCTGCACTCACACAATAACAAGTATGGTTAAGTTAAACTCCAACACCCTTTTAACCAGTCAGAACATCCGGTATCAAAGAAGGTGTGTTTCTGAGTTGTCTTGGTAACATTTCCCAAGCTGTCAGCCTCTGATTGGCTGTGCAAGTCATAACATCAAAACCTTAAAACTGGATCATCTTGAGGGATTCGACAGTTCTAGAGAATCGCTCAGACCGGCCATCTGTAGCAAAACCTCTTTAACTTCAAAGATTTTGACATGTCGTCAAAACCTTTTTTGCACCTGCAAAGCTGATGAGCAAACAGTTCCTGCAGAAACAAAGCTGATATTGTTAGACTCCTTAAGAGTCTGCCAGACGCACGGTTCTATCCAGCTGTTGTGGCCCGAGACATCTCTGGACGGAAGAGTCGGTACCACGGTATTCTACAGCCCTCCGGTGCCAGAGGTCAGCCGACCCCTGCGACTTTCAGATCCACCAAGAGGGTTTCTCAAAAACGGGTGAAGTAGACATGACAGATAGCGTCTGGTGTGCTTCTGATGATAAAAACTTTATAGCTTAGAGCAAACCAAATTCTTTTCACCAGAACTCAGCTTACTTTGATAAGCAAGCTCTGACTGACATCGCATTCACACATAGGTTCCTTCATCACGTTTAGTTACATCCACTCACAGTAAATGCTTAGTTAATTAGTCATGCTTTAAATTGTTTGTAAATAAATTCTTACTTTTAGAAGCCTGACTCTTTGTTGAAATAACACAAAGTTGATCACTGAAAAAGCAAAGAACCCAGATCTTCTGAATTAAGTCCTAGAATCTTCTGAATAATTACAATAAAGACCTAGCAGGTTAATATTTTATATTTATATTGAACATTACATCTTCCTGGTCATAACAAATAAAATCATCTATTTGCATACGCTACAGGGCTGGCAATGAGGGAAGCAGGACTTAGAGTGCAACCCAATTTGAGCCTCAGGAGGGAAAATGTTGCATTGGATGTCGGTGAAGTGCTGTGGCCTGACCCAGCCCACAGACAAGAAGAGGCCCATTGATAACATGTTTAGTCCTTAGATGTTTTTCATTTCATGTAATTTTTTTCCACTGTCATTGTACACTGTAGCACAATGGACTGCAGGCTGTGTATGGTACAGTAAACAAATTGTATGGCCCTGAACATTGTGCTTTTTATTTTTTGGTGTATTGTTTACTGACTGCTTGATGGTGTGTGTAATTTAGAGTCATTTGTTTATGATTTGAGAGTAGTGTTTGATTTTGAGCACAGCTAAAAGTGTTATGAGGCAAAAGTTTGATTTTGCAAGAGGAAAGAGAGGTTTTGTAAATTGTGCTTGAAGCTGAGGTTTTGTGTTCAATGTTTTGAGAAAAGGGAGCAAGGTTTCAGGAATTGTGCTTTAGCAATGGAGAAAAACTGTAATATCACTGTAATGGCCGATAAATGATATTTGCCGATACCGATAAACTGACATTAAGGCTTCTAAAAGCAGCAGATTTTGTACAGAATGAAAATAATATGAATTTACGTTATGTACACACACCACACACATTTACACTTCTGAGATGATTACAGTCACTGTCACATGACTAAACAAATACACACCACTCCCCTCACCCTCTGAAACAGATAAACAAATGGAAACAAGATGGAAAAAATATCAGTTATTACTATCGGCCCAGTTTTATTTATCGGACAGACACAGATATGTTAAAAAGTAATTAACATCAGCCGATACCAACATTGGTGCAGATATATTGTGCATCTGTAATTGGTGCAAAAGGTTGTTGTTTGCATTTGCAAAAAGAAAGATGGATTTAATATTAAAACTTCTAAATATGAAAGAAGAAAATATAATTTCTATAGCACCTCTCAAGATAAAAATCACGAGGCGCTTCACAAAAACAAAAAATGTACAAATATGAAAAATAATTTAGAAAATGGTTAAAAATATATTTAAAATGAGCAAAAAATAGACAATTGTGATTCAAAAAATGTTAAGAAAGAGAGAGTGAATAGGAAAGAGGGAAATCAGTGGATCCTGAGGAAGGTGGAATAAGTGGGGAGAGCAGAATAAAGAGAGAGGGGTGAAGAAGGTCATACAAAAGCCAGCTTGAACAAGTGAGTCGTCAGCTGCTTTTTAAAGGAGACCACTGAGACCACTGATCTCAGGCTCAGGGGGAGAGTGTTCCAGAGTCTGGGGCCACAGCAGCAAATGATCTGTCACCTTTGGTCTTTAGCCTGGTGCTGCACAACCAGTAGGCTTTGATCACTGGACCTCAGGGACCTGCTGGGGGTGTAGGGACTAAGAAGATCACCAATGTAAAATGGTGCTTGTCCATGTAAGGTCCTATAGACCATAACCAGGATCTTGAGATGAACCCTGAAGTTGACTGGCAGCCAGTGAAGTTGGAGGAGAAGCGGGGTGATGTGGGTGTGTTTGGAGAGCTTGGTCAGAAGCCGAGCACAGGCATTCTGAACCACCTGCAGACGTTTCAAGGAGGTTCTGCTCAGACACGTGAAAAGAGAGTTACAGTAGTCTAAGCGTGAGGAGATGAAGGTGTGGATAACAGTCTCAAGTTCAGAATGGGACTCAGCTTTGCAATGCTGCTGAGATGGAAGAAGGAAGAGCGAACAAGAGAACTGACATGAGAATCCAGGATGAGAGCTGGGTCAAAGGTCAAGCCAAGATTCCTGACGGAAGGTTTGGTGTGAGAAGCAAGCTGACCAAGAGAGTCTCTGACTTTGGGAACCAGCTTGTCTGGGGCACAGATGAGGATCTCAGTCTTATCTTCATTCAGCTGAAGAAAGCTCCCAGCCATCCAGGTTTAAATAGAGTCTAAGCAGGTGTGTAACAGCTGCAGCTTAGTCATCTCAAGGGGCTTAATGGAGATGTACAGTTGGATGTCATCTGCATAAAGATGGTAGGAGATTCCTTTGAAGGAGCTCAGGATGTGCTGAAGAGGAAGCAGATAGAGGAGGAAGAGCAGAGGCCCCAGCACAGAACCTTGTAGGACACCATGGGTAAGAGAGGTGGTGGAGGACCTAAACTTGGAGACGACCACAGAAAAGGAGCGCTCAGAAATGAGAGGAGAACCACTCCAGAGCAGTTCCTGATAGGCCTACCCAGTCTCTCAGCCTCTCCAGTAGCAGGTGATGGTCAACAGTGTCAAAGGCTGCAG